CTAGGCTGCACGATTTCGGTAGTCAATCATCTTTTCATTGATGATCTCCACTCTCATCATCTCTATCAGCTAACGAAGTGGTTGGATTTTTTGCTTCGTCTCGTCAAAACAAAGTGTTCATGTTGAGGTCTCCTTTCAGGGTTGAAAGAGCCTCTCTATCTGTAACTTGCTCCCAACAGGTTATTTCATCGATGAATCTAGTGAGGTAGTTTCTTAGTGTCTCTCCAAGAGCCTGCCTCATGTTTTGTAAGCCTTGTATTGGGGCTTTTCCTTCCTTTCGTGAGAGATATTGGTTCAAAAAGGCTTTCTTTAGGTTGGGCCAGCTCCTAATGTTCAGATGTGGTAGTCGACTATACACACTTCGACTGCTCCTACAAGGGTCAAATGAAAAGCCCTGCACTTCAATGCTGGTGAGGCTCCTCTCAAACTCATTTGCGTTATGTATTTGGTGAAGTGTTTTTCTGGGTCTCCTTTTTCCTCATACTTTGGAATTTTAGGGAGCATGAAATTTCTAGGCATTGGAAAGCTTCAAATTTCTCTGGAAAATGGGAGGTTATCGTTGTCATCGTCTATCTTATGAGATCGACACGACCCTTTAGAGTTGTCCCCATCTGGCACATTTTGGGGAGATGGAGGTGCTCCTCCTCGGCCTCCTTTCACGCATATTTCTAGGTGGAGGAGGTGCTTCATGCTCTTGTTCTTACTCTTGTTGAGCTGGTCTTTGTACGGAGCGAAGCTGCTGCTGGGGTTTTGCCCTATTTGGTTAAAAACACTAATTGACCTCTGTAGCTTATACTCTGGTAGGAAGTTTTTTCCCAACTGGGTTTCAACTGCCTGGGTGCCTTGTTCGTAAGAAGTGATGTCAACCCCTACTTTCCTTACAATAGGGGACTCTCTTTGATGACTCGAATGACCTTGGCTACGGGATGCAGGAAGTCCCTAAGCTGGGTGGGACCTTTGTGGCATTTGAAAGCCCTGCTGGCCTTGAGCCTACATGAAGAATTCACGCATCATCATATCCTGGGCCGCGATGTCCCTCATACCTATATCTATTTGGGCTATTCCTGCAACGAGCATTGCTATGGTCTCACTACCTCGACGGCGTCGATGGTAAGGTCTATGGTGGGTGACATTTGTTCGGAGCACCTCTTCTTTAGAGGCGTCCCTTGGTCCTCCTAGATTTGCATCCTCATTGCTTGAACTCATTTTGTAGCTCCTTTTTCAAAGTTGTTCAGAACTAGGTTGCTAACTTTTCACTTAGGTTCTTTTTCAAGAACGTTCCTTTTTAAGGGGAAAGTCACTGATTTTTGGGTATTTAACAGAGAACTCTAGAACAGAAGGTAACCACAAACGGCGTCAATTTATTGACCTCGCGAATTAGACCTTCAACGTGGCCAACCGAGAGCCACTCCACGTATTTCTCCCTGCGTACAAAAGCAAACGGTCAAGCGTACATGGTCGGTACCAATGGGGTGGCGGTGATCGTATACACTTCGGAGGTCAAATCAGCGGACGGTGGTGGCAGCGGTGTCGGAATTGTGTAAGAGACAGTGGATAGGAGAATATATATTACTTGGTTGTGGAGTGCTAAGATTAGAAAAATTTACCTGTCTCTGGCAAAGCCCTTGGTATTTATAGGCAAAGGATACCACTGAAGTGGGACACGTGTATGCATCTAACGGTGTGAGGCGTCTGTTCATAGGTGTCAATCAACCACATCCTAAGAGGGGTAGACAATTAATTCTTTTGATACTTGAGTTGACATAAAGTAGAGATGTCACATCAATCAATCCATAAAGATAGATGATCCTGACACAAATACATCTCTGAAACTAGAGGCAGAAGGGCCTTCACACACCTATGTCGCATGATGCCTCGAGTCTCCTCGCACTTCGATATCAAAGGACGCTTCGGACAATATTACTTTGGTGACACCTCTCACAGCACGTCGACTAGATACCACTTCGGTAATGCCTCGGCTTGCCACATGGTCTCTTGTTGGAGAGTAGATCTGACGCGCCGACATAGTTGTTGAGAGGCGTAACATGTAGTACTTTTCCTTGTTGTTTCTTAAAATTATTATTCCCACAGTTTTTGGATTGAGAGCACCAATTGTAAACATATAATTTTGTTTAAAATCAATTACTTTCTATTTTCCATGTTACATAGTTTTTACTTTTTATTCTAATAAATAGGCTTGTATTTAATGTAAGTAATATACTATAGTTGGTAAAGCAGGCAAAAATTTGTCAAGTTTTCACTAATTAATTTTCCGATCTTTAGAGTGATTAGAAGTCTTGATTGAGCATTGTTCGATCGACTTTGAGTGCAATATGTCTTTTTCCGTTGACTTTTATTATTCATACATGGTCCTGTTGTAAAATATGCAAAAATTTACCAAGTTTCACTGCTCATTAATACTTTGATGGATTGAAGACCTTAATCGAGCAATGATCAACCATCAAGTTGTTCATCACTTGACCTTGGATATATTCTTTCTTATCGTTCCTGAATAGTAAAAAGATCCATGTACTTTTTTGTATAATCATGTGCTAATATTTATTCTATTCCTGAATGGTAAAAAATGTGAAAAGATTCGATAAAATGGTTCTATAAACAAAAGTAATAAAATTTTCCATTCAAATCAGGTCACAAGATCTCAAGTCATTTGAAATGTCACATGCCCATTTTATCTCTTTCTTATTACCGTCTCAAATATCAAATTGTTGCATTTTGAATGATTCGAAATTCGATAACCTAAAAATTAAAGAATAATGTCCCTTGTTACACTTTCCTCACATGAGGGGAGGGCCCATGCCCATTTAATGCGCGGGCCCTATCCCCTATGTGAGGGGAATTTTACATCGAGTTTACAGTTCGGTCTACATATAACAGGGCCGAAAAATAAATATCGAGTTCTGTTCGAAATAATTTCTAGCCCAACCAACCACCATCTTCAAATTGTCTCTCTGTGGAAAAAAGAAAAAGAAAAGAAGTGAAGCCCTATCAAGGGAAGTACCTTAGAGAAAACTCCTGTCTCTCCATAATCGAAAAACTCAGGATCTGATTACTGATTCAAACCCATGACTGAGAGAAGGCCATTGAGAAATTTCATATACCCACATCAAAAACTACTTGTAATGTATGGTAGTTGATCTACAAATTTGCCAAAGAAAATAGAAAAGGATCTGCAAGAATGGAGTCTTGAATTGAATGCATATCATCTACTGATGGGATTAATGAGGATAGGGTTCTCCACCCCCATACTTATTCTCAGTTTTCATCTTCCAAGCCATCTAACATTAATAATCTCAGTATGGTGATTCATCCAGGCACCAGTGTCCACGAGCTTCTTGAATGCCCTGTTTGTACCAATTCTATGTACCCTCCTATCCACCAGGTTAGGCCCCAATTTAAAATAATATATTTCTGTAATTCCATTCTCTATTCTTTCTGTTGTTGTTGTATTGGTTTATATTTTTGAAGAAATTTGGGTTCTCTATAGCTATCATCGTGGGTTGATTGATGCAAGATTATAGCTTTTTCAGTTTGATCTTTGCAATACTGTGTAGATATTTGTAAGAGGGTGTATTGATTGGGAATTTGGGTGGCAAGTTCTGGAAATTGCTGAATTTTATTAGATTTTAATAAAATGGGTTTCGGGGTTTCCCTATTTTGTTTCCTGTGTACAGATTGATGGCTTGAATCTATTGGGATGCTGATGCGGCATATTTGGTTTGGTAGATGTGTGCAGTTGGTATGTTCGGCTAAAAGTGTAATAGGATAATGGCTAAATTTGTCTTTTATTTTTGATAAGCTATATTGCAGTCAATTCGGAATATGTTGTCTTGGATCATGCTGTTGAATAAACTAATTTCTGAATTGCTCAATTGAATCTCATTCCCAGAGTTTGATCTGGTGTAAGTTGAACACTGTTAAACCTGCGATAATTATATGTAGGAAACTTGGACTTCTTATGATTGGAGTTCAGAAAGAATATAACAGAAAAATAGACCATATATCATATGTGGATTAATAAGATATGAAGAGATGGTTGAAGGAGCATTAGGCCTGAGGTAGCAGTATGCTTTTGCTTCCCGTAAAAGAGCTTTTGGAGCAAGCTATCTTAATTTTTGTTTGAAAACTAACTTTTAAAAGAACTTACTATTCCAAAGTACTTTTAGAAGAAGTCACATTTGACCAGATTCGTCTAAAAGCTCTTTAGCTAGAAGAAGCATTTTCATAACATTAGCCAAATGGGTCCAAAATTAGTTTTTGGGTCTCAAAAACTCCATTTGGATTTTCAAAGCCATGCCAAATAGGCCTTAGCCCTAAATTTGTCCCCCAAAAAAAAAATAATAATAATAATAATAAATAAATAAATAAAATTTGATATTCAAATGGTTGTTGAATTTAAACATATGCCACTTGGTATTATCTGTTCCATAGGCCACTAGAGCCATGCATGGTCATGGATCTGAGAAAGCCCCATTTGTTCTAAATTCCAATGAGATCATTAAATTAAATGCTTTCACCATTTATTTAATATAAAGAATTGAGTTTCTAATACTTTATGCTGAAGTTGTGAGCTTTTTTTATCAGTCTTCTTCCATGATGTTTTGGCTGAAACTAGGTGACATAATCTGATGTAGGATGAATTGAATCCGGAAGTGAAGCTTTATAATCTGATGTAGGATGAATTGAATCCGGAAGTGAAGCTTTATAATCTGATATAGGATGAATTGAATCCGGAAGTGAAGCTTTATGGTTAAACTTAAGAGTTTATTAATATAATACTGTAAAAGAACTTTAATTAGAATTTTGGATTCTGGATGTCATTGACTAAATGTCTAAAATTGTGTATTTAGGATGCAGAATTTTAACTTAGTCAAGTGGAAAGGAAAAGAAAACAAATATGTTCAACGTTGTAACAAAATGTTTTGTGAAGTTTGTGATAGGATACCACTTGAAAGAATAATTCAAATGTTGAATAGGTGACTTTTTGATTGAAAGATGACGATTACAGAAATTAAAAGAACAATTCTAAGCATTCGAGAGGCTTAGATCTCTCCCCCTAACTTTTCAACTAATTCTCTGCATGCCCCTCCCCAATCCCTCCCCCATTACATTTATAGGCAACTTATCACACCATTATTCTCCAAAATACCCTGCCCCTAACTGAATAAACTTCTCAATTCTTCTAGGTCCTTCCACGTTGATAGGAGTCTATCATTACTCGCCCCTCGAAATCCACCTTATCCTCAAAGTGGAGGCTGTGGCTATACGGTCAACTTATCATACCACCGCACAAATTTCCTTGCAAATACCCTAGTCACAAGTGATGTTAACATCACGGTTCTTGGTCCGAGGAAGTTGGCGGACTGATTTAATAGACCCAATACCACTAATATAGTGCCCATTAAAACCCCATGACCGGTCGCGCCTGTGCATAAAATTTTGATGTTGTAAGGCCAGCTATTCGAATTAAATTTGTGTTCAGCCTGCATTAATCCCCCTCCTCCTTTCATAGTCCTCGGTGCAATCCAATTTGCTATAGTATTTGAGAAAAGCTCCAACCTATTTACCATCCCATCGCTCCCTTTACTGCCATCTGCACCTTTACTGACTTCCAAATACCAACCACCAGTTTCTCTAGCCATAAATAAAACCTGTAACTCCTTGTGCTTACTTAGATGCTGAATATAGTTTTCTTTGCCCTCGAGAATTGGACCCAGATCGCAATTCAATTGGAGATCCACATCCATTTGCTGCTTGTAAAAATTTAGGGATTTGGAGGGTACAATTTCTAGTGGAGTAGACTCAGCGAATTGAGGAATTGATTTGTTACGTGGAGGAAGAAGGTAAATAGAGTAATTGGTATATCCTGGGCTTTTATTTTGAATTGGGCCAATCCCTACTTGGGCTTGATTCAACAACCCAATTGGGTATTCAACATGCTGGGCCGTTTCATTTAAGCCCACTAATTTCAGCATTTGGTCTTCAGCCCTCACTTTCTTATTGAGTTCATTCCCTTTCCATGCCTGTTCTGATCCATCTCTAATAACATCCGTCAACTGCGATAGGAGTTTTGTGATTCGGCACTCATACTTCTCCTCCTCCAACGATAGCGATGGAAACTTCTGTTCTTTGCCGCTGATGGGAGGACTGATTCCTGCCAAGCTTCCAAACATCTTTCGATTGTGATTGTCCACGCGCCAAGTCTCTTCTCTGCCCTTCGTACCTTCAATACTCATGCTTGTCTTAGGTGCTGCTTCTGAGGCTGATTTTGCTTCTTCAGATGAAAACTCCAATGATAGTGCTACTAGAGATTGCCTCTTCTCTGCTGCTGAGGCTTCAACGCAACTAATCTGTTGGAGTTGTTGGTATGTGGAGCTGAATGATGCTAGAAGAATTAAATTGCTTGCCTTAATGACCTTCGTTGGAATTGCAGAAGCGAACATATGCTCGGGTGAGTTCTCTATGGGCGGCCAAAATCTGCATATCATTCCCTCTTTCAATTCCCTCCAAGTTTGCACGGGTCGATGACAATCTAGCCATTGAAACCACTCCCAAGCTTCGCCATCCAAGCATTCTGCAGCGGCTTCCACTTTTTCCCTCTTCGACAATTGATTTCTTGCGAAAATTTCATTGGTTTCCCTAGCCACCAATCTGGATTGCCATCATAGAATATTGATATTTTTAGTCGACCTAGCGAATCCAATCCCGAATCCTTTGCTCGATCTCCTCCTTCCTGTTGCCACATTTTGTGATCAAATCTCTTGAACAATGAACTCCATTTCTCCTCTAATTCCTTGCTGAATGTTTCCATCTTCCCTAGGATCGAGGGCGCTGATACCATTTGATAGGATACCACTTGAAAGAACAATTCAAATGTTGAATAAGTGACTTTTTGATTGAAAAATGACAATTACAGAAATTAAAAGAACAATTCTAAGCATTCGAGAGGTTTAGATCTCTCCCCTTAACTCATCCACTAATTCTCTGCATGCCCCTCCCCAATCCCTTCCCCATTACATTTATAGGCAACTTATCACACCATTATTCTCCAAAATACCCTGCCTCTAACTGAATAAACTTCTCAATTCTTCTAGGTCTTTCCACGTTGATAGGAGTCTATCAGTTTCTTAGTGACGCAAGGGGTTTAAGTCATAGTTTTGAAGCGGTTGCCTTAAACCTGTAGCTGTCTCTATCACTCCGCAATGTAACTACCTTGTGTTTCTCTAACCCTTTTTCAAAATTAATTAACTAAACGTGGATAATTTGATGTGTGACCAAAAATGAAAAAAACTATTTTGAGAACCAGACCGGACAGGCTGATTTGACCAGGAAACTGGGAAGCGGACCAGAAACAAGTCTGATCACATGGATAAACCATTATAGAAAGAAACAAGTGAAAAGCAATTGGTGAACCTGCTGAACCGAACACGGTTTTTATGGTGAAGTTTACTTTAAAAAAAAAAGAAGAAGAAGAAGAAGAAAATTCGTTGAATCAACTTCTTCATCTTCGGTCTTCATGTCCTAGTTTCGCAAGAGCTTCATTATCTTCCTCGGCAGGCACCTTTATGAGTATGTGGAGATCTAAATAGGTTAAGAAGAAAGGGAGCTTGGTGGGTACTGCAGAACAACAAAAAGTTAAAAAGGGGGAATGTGAATGGTTAAGAAATGGTATTGCTGAATGGATTGTGGTGCTGTGTTTGAATTTCCCTTTGATTTTTTGTGCTTAGCACTTCTGCCCTTTTGCTTTGGAAATTTAATTTTGCCCCTGATATCCTTCATAGAAAGGGAGAAATTAATTGATATATTTATTGGATCTGTCGGGACAAGGGCTAGATGATAGAGAAACAAGAGCGGTTTTGGGTACTCCACTTTCTCAAAGAGAGCGTGTTATATGTGTTTATTTTATTTATTTAAATTTTTTTAGGAATGAGCAATGTTGGGACAAAAATGCTCAAATATATAAGAGGCCAACAATGAAAGTAGTTCTTTTTCCTTTCTGAATTGTTCTTGAAATTGATGATGTGAAAATTTAATTGTGTATAGATGACAATTAAAATTTATATAGATGACAATTAAAATTTATATTTTAAGCCCTTGTTTGGTTTCCGTTAAAATGTATTTTTAGGGAAAAAATATATTTTGGAATAATGATTCTTTTGAAGAATATGTGGTTTGAACAGAAATAAAAGTTTTGGGTTTATGTGTACTATTATTTTATTGAAAAGTGTATGGTTAAAAAGAGGAGAGGAAGATGCATTTTGGATAAAATGGAGCCTAGAAAGGGGCTAAATAATTATTTCTTAGGCTCTAGTTTGACTTGATTCGACCCAGGTGAACTTTTTACAATAGATTTTGTGAAAAAAGATTTTATCTTTTTTAGATTGTGTGATTAAAAATTATAGAAATATTATGTGTCCACGTGCAAAATTATCTTATTAGGAGAATTTATGGTTAAAAATAGGTTTTAAAAAAATATAGTTTTAAAGAATCTCTACCAAAGAGGGGATAATGCACTCATAACATTTTGTGTGTGAACGTATTTACATATCAAGTTTTCATGTGTTTGTGTGTGTGTGTGTGTGTGTGTGTGTGTGTGTGTGCATGCGTGTGCGTGTGTGTTGACAATATTGATTACTTTTTAAGTGCTAACTGCTAAATAAACTCAGATCATGTCTTTTTACTGCAGTGCCACAATGGCCATACTCTCTGTTCCACCTGTAAAGTACGGGTTTACAATCGTTGTCCTACTTGTAAACAAGAACTTGGTGATATTCGATGTTTAGCATTAGAGAAGGTTGCCGAATCACTTGAACTTCCTTGCAATTATTTCTCCCTTGGATGCCCGGAGATCTTTCCATACTACAGTAAGTTGAAGCACGAGGTGGTTTGTAATTTTAGGCCTTACAATTGCCCATATGCTGGCTCTGAGTGCTCAGTAGTTGGGGATATACCATACCAGGTTGCTCATTTGAGAGATGATCACAAGGTAGATATGCACTCCGGATGCACATTCAATCACCGCTATGTCAAATCAAATCCTCGAGATGTGGAGAACGCTACATGGATGCTGACTGTAAGTATACTCCTTTTCGTCACATTTTTAGTTTGGAGTTATCTCATCTTTGTTGCTGAAATTGTGCTACTTCTAATATATAAAAGGCCTTCAAGGATTATTATGTCCCATTAGGCTCTTCAGTTGCTCCCTTGTTCGCCAAACAACTTGCTACGTGATTATATCTAGAATTACATTGCAACACCATACAACAGTGATAATAAACTAATTCTTAACTTATTCCCAATAAATTTGGGGTCTTCTACATAAATCCTTCTTGCCATTCTGCCTAGTGCCTCAGTGCACTGCTAAATCTACTCGGAGATCTAAAGCAACGAGATCATTAAGCCATGTTACATTTGGTTACTCTCTCTTCTAACTTGCTGGGTTGCAGCTCCATTAGGAACAAAATGATAATTCTTTTTATTTATTCGTAGCTTGTCACATCTTCCAACCTTGTCTAAATGCTGACTGTAACTGTAATAACTTGGAAAGACACTGGGCATAAATATCTAATAGAACACATTGTATTGTGATATCGATGTGAATCTTGGACCTTGTCGATCCATGCCGAATTTTCTTGATTTTTTTTCTTTTTTTTCCTGTTGCAACATCAAGAATGGACACAATTGATGTCCTTGTGAGTTGTATATTCTGAAGGCCTTGCCCATCATTTTTTCAGGTTTTCCATTGTTTTGGTCAGTATTTCTGTCTTCATTTTGAAGCTTTTCAACTTGGCATGGCTCCTGTTTATATGGCATTTCTTCGATTCATGGGCGACGAAGTGGAGGCTCGAAACTACAGTTATAGCTTGGAGGTGGGGGGAAATGGCCGTAAACTTATCTGGGAAGGCACCCCACGGAGCATCCGGGATAGTCACAGAAAAGTTCGGGATAGTCATGACGGCCTCATTATACAGCGTAATATTGCACTTTTTTTCTCGGAAGGAGATAGGAAAGAGCTTAAACTTCATGTAACGGGGCAAATATTGAAGGAAAAACAGAATCCAGATGCTGGAGTGTACATAACTAGTCTATGCAGTTAAATGCTGCTTTGTTCACACATTTTTCATGTTCATGTCGAACTTTCAGTTAACTGTTATTAGTGGTTCGATATGTTTAACTTTGTCAAGAAGTGTATGTATAGGTTGTGGAGGTTTCAGCTTGATCGAGACGCTTTTATTTTTGCAATTGATATGTGTTGTAAGTTCAATACAGATGCTGAAAGTGACTAGTAAGTGTATAATTTCTTCTCTTTGCCTAAACTGTTGGTTCTTGTTTTTTCATACAAACGCGAGTTAGTGACTTAACATGATTACTATACTCTTTGTATGGTCCGTACTACTAAATGTACTCTACGAAGTTCTATTTGTGGGTTTACGGCAAGGTACAAGGATGGTCCAGTACTCCTATTGGGCACCACTAGAAGCTGCATGGTCAGGTCCATAGCTAATCATAACGTTGTTCACAAATTGTCAAAAGGACAAGTTTGGAGTACATATACACCAAGCACAACCCTTCTCAAAATTCACTGATATTTCATTTATATAGCACAGTTTCCCCTTCACCACATGGAAAAAGAAGAAATACTCATCAAGAATGACGATACCCATCTCCAGAAAACTATCTTTAAACCCTCAGTTGAATTTGATACTCTGTTTACCCCGCTCGAAGAAATTCCAACAACAACAGGTGAATGATCTTCAAAACCTAGTTCATAAATTCAATGGAAGTGATGTTTCTGATTCTAATATTGATACTTATGGTAAAGAAATGATTAATCTAGACAAAAGAAGTAATCTTGGCGATAACAATGGAGAATCTGGTGGTGTTATAGAATCGGAAACGGAATCGACAAGAAAGATTTTAGGTGAGTCAGTTTTGTGGAATAAGTTGGAGAGTTAGATTGAGCTGTATAAGAAAGATATAGAAATGTGGGGGCATTGGGACTGGTCCTATATTTAATGTTTTTCAGGATTAAGAAGGTAAGATTAAAATGGTGGTTGTGAGCGAGGATGAAATTTTGAGAAGAAGTCAAGTTAATTCACGGGATGATAGTGAAACCGAGGAAGTGAATTACAAAATTTCTTTTGCTAAATATTTAGCTTGAGAAATGGAGAGGGGTAGTGAGGTGATTCCGATGTTCGGTGGTGAAGTTTGTAATGTTAGGTGGAAACTGGAAAATGTCAAGAGTTGTGGTTATAGTATTATGGGGTTTATTTGTGGTTTGGGCAGTTAATGGACTTTTCACTTTTGGGGATGATGGTGAGGAATACACGAGGTTGGAGATGGAAATGTCGAGGAAGATGAAAGGTAGAATGGAGAAAGAAAAAATGGCGAAGGGCAGTATAAAAGTTATGCAGGAATCCTCAGAGCCAATAAGTGTACCTTTTGAGAGGCCTCTGCTTGACAAGGAAGTTGGGAACATCAAAATTAAGGCAGATGGATTAAATAATGAGTTGGCAGTAATGTAGTATTCTGGTTGTCAATCTAAGAATTTTAATGAAAAAATTGAAGAAATCAGAGCAATGGCAAGACATGAACGGGAACTTGAGTGAAAGGATTCTTCGGTGGATAATAATGACGGAGAGGATGGTAGCGTGAGTTCTTGCAATGACCTTCCTAATGGACAGGCAATGGATATTTGAAATACTGATGGAACTTCTTTGCTTACATCATTAGATGATTTAAAAGATGATATTGAACTTCCAACTGAATAAGCTTCAGTGGAAGAAAATTTTTTTGGAAATTCATAACACATCGAATGCAGATGGCAATGAAAAGACCACACTTGAGGTAAATAACAGGATAATTGGTTTGAGCTCCTCAGATTTAAATGGAGTGAATTTACACTCTGATAAAAGTTTTGTGAGAACTAAACAGCGGGTCATAAAATCTATGAAAGAAGCCGGAGAATACCTCTCAAGAAAGAATGACTAATTATAAGTAAATCAAGAACCTAAAGCCAGAATTGAAGAATAAATTCACCCTCTTTTTGTTATGCCAAGAACAAATGAAGCATCTGATACCAATGTTGAATTATCCAACTCTTCTCTTTTAAGTGATAGACAAAAATTTTCATATTGTTGTGAAGATTCTTGTCTTGAGAGAAAGTAACATTCTTCAGCTAACAATGGGGACTCTGAAGCAGCATATGGAATAGTAAATACCGCGAAGAATCTAAATAATACCAGGATGTCCTCAGGTCGTGAATTGAGCCTCAGAAGTCAAAATAATGGTAATGAAGATTCAAGCTTGTTGGAAGAAGCATCAACTTCACGGGAGAAGCATAATTCTGAAGGTAATGAAAACAATGCAGCAGGGATTAATCTTCAAAATCCTGAAACTACCATTAGTAATGAAGTTAATGGAGGCTGTGCAAAGTTAGCATCATCCAGAAATAAGGAAAACTGGATTCTAAAAAAATTTCACGAATTTGAGCCCGTTGTACAGAAGATTGGAGTTGGCTTCAGAGATAATTACTGGGTCGCAAGGGAAAATACAAATCAAGAGTTAGAGCTTAAGTCCCTTAAAGATAGACAACGAACTCGAGTGGATGAAAGATGAGAAGCTCGGTGATATTGTATTCAGAGTTCGAGAAAATAAGCTTAGAGGAAGAGATCCATTTTATCTTATAGATGATGAAGAAACATGTGCATTTTTCAGTGGCCTTGAGAAGAAAGTTGAACAAGAGAATGAGAAGCTTATAAATCAGCACAAATATTTCCATTCCAACATTGAGAACCTTGATTATGGAGCAGGTGGATTTTACATTCTTCTTAGATCTAATTGTATTCAATATGAGACCAACTAATTCAATAATTTTGCTAATTATGTTTCATCAACCCTTGTTTCAAACCCTAGATCTGCCCCTGCCTTCCACTATGATGCAATAAGATAGCCATGCTAATGTGACTTCTTTTTGTTACTATAGATGGCATAGCTTGTATGATCCACCGGAGAAAATAATACCTTGGCGGAAAGTTCTCCCCTCAGAAAAGAATCCCGAGTTCATTAACAATTTCGTAGAACAGAGAAAGGAACTTGTTGCTGAAAGCATTAAGAATTCATTTCTTGTAAAGAAGACTGAACAAGATGTCCGTCAGAAGTTTGAAGAATCTGAAATCTCATGACAATATGACTAGGTCAATAAATGTCACTACAGAATTTCAGAAAGAGCCTACAATATCTCTAAACCTATTATAGAAGGCAGTCTTTAGAGCTGGCAAAAGATCTGGAAGGGAGTACTGGCTGCACACTAAGAAATGGTCCCAAGGATTCCTCGAGTCATACAATGCAGAGACTGATCAGGAAGCAAAGGTGTAATGAAGGATATAGGAAAAGATTTGGATAGATGGATTGCTGAGAAAGAAATAGAAGAAGCAGCTGACCTAATGGACAAAATTCCCGAGAAGGGTCGTAAGTTCATTAAGGAAAAACTTGACAAGGTCAAAAGAGAAATAGAATTGTATGGCCCTCAAGCTGTCGTCTGCAAGTATCATGAATATGCTGAAGGAGAAGAAGAAGAAGAAGAAGATTACTTGTGGTGGCTGATCTGCCCTTAATACTGGTACATTACTTCATCCTGTTATCCCTAATGTTGATTCAAACATTCTAACGTGAATATATTTGAACAGAGTAATTCCCACAATATTTCAGTATTTATAAAAGAAAATTCCGAATCATTTCTTTCATTGTCTCTCTGTTTTGCAGTGCATAGAATTGTACACGGTAGAAAATGGAGAGCAGAGAGTGGGTTTGTATTCGCTAGAGATGGCTGCTGAACTAGAATTGGATCCAAAGCAATATAACGTGATTGCTTTCGAAGATGCTGATGGAAATGCCTTTATTGTTACCCGATCGCTGAAGGTATTTCGTACCCTTGTGCTTCTTCAATTGTGTTCGCATAGATTTTTATTTTATTTAATTTTTTTTTTTTTTATGCTCTTGAAAGTGAATGTTAAAAATAAAATAAAAAATAAAAAAAGCCCCTGGAAAAGGGAAAAGTTTGTTCTCTGAAGTGAACTCGTATAATGTATATTCTACCTTTTCTGATTCTCTGCAGGGCGCTTTTCAGGAAGCCAAGGCTAATGGTTTCAGTGTGACTGTCATCAGAAAAGGTCAGCTGCAGCTCAATGTGGACTGAAGATTGGAAGAAGTGGAAGAACTAATATTAGAATATGTACTAAGATATACCATGATAAAATCATGCAAGAGCGTTCTGTTGACATTAAATGGCTTGATGAGGGCCTTTTTGGGATCAGCAAACCAGCTCAGAGGTAAATTTAAAATCTTATAGAACTTTTATGGGATTCAATCTGGTTGTCCTGGTTTTTATTGGCTATTAGTTATTCTAATTCCTTATTTCAAATTTTTTTATTTACTCCAAGGAGATCGAAGTGGAAACTGAAAAGCACATGAAACTGTGAATGAGAATACTATTTCAGATGTTTGTTGTTTGAGGTATTAATTTTCTTATGCACAATGAGTTAAATTATTTGCATGGTTACCACCGCACGTTGCTGTGAGAAACGAAGAACAGAGAATGGAGGACCATTTTTATTTCTTGTTGCTTTGATTGCAAATTGAAAAGGTTACCAGGGATTCTGTTAATAGCGTGCTGAAATCATTTTTCTCTTTTCCGGTCGTATATTGACCTTCTTTGCTCTTTTTTCTTCACTTGTTTGGGGGATCCTTAAAACCTTTCATAGTTTCTCGATAATAGATGAAGCTGATGATGTGTTTTAGCGACTGTCTCTTCGAATTCAAAATAGAAAAGTTGTATAATAATGCCGGAACAGAATTACAATTTTCAAGTCACAGAACTTATAGATAGTATAAAGTGTGATCATTATTCTGTAGCATGCACAAATGTGGTGTGATTTTTTATTTTTTTTTTAGATCTTGACATTGTGAATTATGGGGTTTATCCAATTCTTTCCTCTATTTGTGAATTATATAGATGGTGTGTGTTTGCAATATTATGAGCGAGGGTAACGAGAAAAGATCCCAGTTGGAGATTCAGTGGCATCTCATTCAAGTTATGCCAATTTTGGTATCACCAACGAACAAAGAATCCCAGTTGGTGGGATGCGTATCTGTTCGTCTCCCTTCTGCCATCTTCAAGTTATGGAGCAAAGACTTTCCAGGAAGTTTGATAATTTTGAATTCCATGGTTGCTGGCCACCCCCGGATTGTTTAAAGGTAAATGTTGATCTTGTTCGTAAATGATGAATGACAAATTTTGAGTTCG